CAAGTTATATTACAAAGCTACAGTGATAAAAATAGCATGGTATTGCCGCAAAAACAGACATGTGGATCAATGGCACAGAATAGAGGATGCAGAAACACATTCGGCCATCTGATCTTTGCCAAAAGAGTCAAGAATATATGTTAGAGGAAGGATTGATTCTAGTAAATAGTGATGGAAAACTGGCTATCCATATGCAAAAGACTGAATCTAGACCCATATCTTATACCCTGTACCAAACTAAAATCAAAATGAATCAAAGATCTAAATATTAAAACAGAAACACTTAACTTGCTGGTAGATAAAATAGAAAAAACTCTTAAAGTCACGGACAGGCAAGTTTCTAAACAGAATGCCGGCTGCACAAGAAATAACATCAAGACTTTAAAAATGAGATTGTATCAAATGAAAAAGTTTCTACATAGTAAAGGAAACAGCCAACAGAATGAAGAGCCTACCTAAAGAATGGGAAAAAATTTTGGCAGCTATACCTCAGACAGAAGACTAACTTATAGAATATATAAATAACTCAAAAACACAGAACCCCCAAAATAAAGACCCAATCAAAAACTCAGCAACTGAAATGTATGGATATTTCCTAGAAAAAGAAGTACAAATGACCAATAAATACATGAGAAAAAATGTTCAATATCTCTGGCCATTAGAGAAATTCAAATTAAAACAACACTGAGATTCCATCTTACTCCAGAAAGAATTGCTATCATCAAGAAATCTGTTAACAATGAATGCTGGCAAGACTGCAAGAGAAAGGGAACCCTTCCATATTGTTAGTAGGAATGTAAACTAATATAGCCACTATGGAAATCAGTATGGGCATTGCCCAAAAAACTGAAAATAGAAATTTCATTCCACCCAGCTATTCTCTTTCTAAATATCTTCCGAAAAAGTTAAAGATATCGTATTACAGTGATACATGCATATCCATGTTTATAGCAGCACAATTCATAACAGTTAAATCTTAGAAGCAGTCTATATGTCCATCCACAGACAAATAGATAAAGAAATTGTGCTAATTACACACAATAGTGTACTACTCTGTTATGAAGAAGGATAAATTCAAATCATCTGTAGGAAAATAGATGCACCTTTAGATGATAATGTTAAGTGAAACAAATCAGACACCCAAGCTTAAATATTACATGGTTTCTCTTATATGAGAAATCCACAGTATAAAGAGCAAAATAAAAGACAGGTAATGGAAAGTAGGGAGATAGATCTTTCTCAAAGCGGAAGGGGAGCAAAAGAGACAGGGAGAGGGAGGGAAAAAGGAGAAGTGACACTAAAAAAATTAAGATGTGCTATGTACATATGCCAGCTCCCCACAATGAATGTAATCATTATGTACTGCAAACATCTACCAATAAAAACTTAATCAAAGAGCAAAATAAAAGATAGATAATAGGAAATAGGGAGATAGATCTTTTGCAAATGGGAAGGTGGTCGAGAGATGGAGGGAGGTGGAAGAGAGGAAAGGAGAACAGGAAAAAAAACCAAACACTAGCAGCCCTGGAATAGTTTCTCAGACTTTCTCTCTTTCTTTCCCTTCCCTTATCCCCTTCTCTCTTTCTCTCCCTCTCTCTCTCTCTCTCTCTCTTCTGAGATGGCAAAAATTTCTTTCTCATTCTTTTCCCCCTTAGCTATAGGTAAGGCAAACATCTGACCTTCCAGTTTTTGAAAATAAATGAATGAATGAATGAATGAATGAATGAATGAATGAGGGGGAAAGGAAAGCCTTTACTTATAGCTGAGTGCTAAATAATAAATGTAGAAACAGAATGGAGTTACAAAATCAATAATGTAAGTTAAAACTACTAGGTGATATCTAATTAGGAAAAGGATATTTACACAGTCTCAAAGTATCTTCTCACAAATTAGTTATCAATTCTGAAGAAAAAACATAAATTTTTAAGTAGAGAAACTTGGCAGATACCACCACTAACCAAGTGATCAAAGTTAAGATTACTAATACTGGGGCAGATAGATATCATGTACTTCTTGGTATGATGTACTGAGAACACAATTCTGTGGTATTCCTCCTAAAAATGCATACTCTAAATTTAATTATAAGGCAGTAAAGAGTAAACCCAAAATGAGGGCTCCTTCCCAAAGCAAATGGCCTATATCAGTAGCGGGGAACCCACAGCATTCGTGCTGCTGGGGGCTGTGTGTAGTGTTAAAAGCTCTAAAACGTTCACCATCACTGGCCTATATTCTTAAAAAATATCACAGGCAAGAAATAAAAAGACCTGAGTGTGAGGGCACATGACTGTAATCACAGCACTTGGGAGATGGAGGCAGAAGAATTGCTGTGAGTTCAAACCCAGCCTGGTCTACACAGTGAGTTCAAGACCAGCCTGAACTGCATAGTGGGACCTATCTCAAAAGAAAGAAAGAGAGAGAGAGAGAGAGGGAGAGAGAGAGAGAGAGAGAGAGAGAGGGAAAGAAAGAAAGAAAGGAAGGAAGAAAGGAAAGGAAAGAAAGAAAGTCTGAGAAACTATTCCAGAATAAAAGAGACTTAAGAGACACAACAACTAACTAAAAGCAAAGGAGGAGGGAACAAGGAGTCAAACGGAACAGCTCATGAGTATATAAACTAAAAATTAAAATTTATAAAAAACATAAAATTCCTCTTTACAAGTACATTCCAACGTTAAAATATTTTTAGACTATTGTGTTAAAGAATGTCTCACATAATGTAATATGTTAAATATTAAAGTTTTACATTTATTATTATTTAATGTATTCAGCAATTCATTAATGAACTGAAAGTCCTTTGGTTCTGCGTGGTTTAGAATGTGTATATTCAACAGATAAGATATAGATTTTAGATTTTTTTCTGATTTGTGGTTTTTTGAGACAGGTTCTTGCTATGTAGTGCAGGCTGGCCTTGAACTCACTATGTAGCCCTGGGTGGCCTTGAACTTTCAGCAGTCCTCCTGCCTCCCAAGTGCTGTGATTACAAGCGTGCATCATCATGCCCGGCTGAGATTTAGACAGTTTTAAAAAGCATCCTTAACATCTATTTGAATTTCCACATGAAAAAAATACCTAACTACATGAAATCTCCAAGCATTTACAGAGTCATAGTTAATAGACTCTTACTGAGTAATTAAGATACTGAAGGTAAGAAATCTGTCATTTACCAGAATTTACCTGCTGAAATACCTTTATAGGCAAGCATCAGAAACAGCCAACTATAAATCAACAGGGAAGAACTGAGACCACACTGATGAGACCTGAAAACTACCCTACCTAAAGGCACTTACATTTAAGTTTTATTTCATTTAAAAAAAAATATTGTGCTCCATTTGTTCAGCCTCAGTTTAGCTAAAAGGACATCTGCTTTGATCTTTGAATTTCAGGTATGAGGCCCTTATGACTTTTATGATATACACTTATATGAATACATGGTATTTTATAACAGATAATAAAATGAAAATTTTCTGAAAATGAATTATTATGGTTTAGATCTGGTGTATCCCCCAAAACCTCACGCGTTTGGAAGGAGACTATACTTGTTAGTGGTTCGGGACCTGGTTAGAGGACGGTCACTGGGGTCATGACCTGGAAAGGTTTATCTCCCTCCCTGGATCCTCCCTTCATGCTCTCTGCTTCTTAGCCACCACCAGATGAGCAACCTCCCTCTGCACCTTCTGTCATGATTTGAGCCTGCCATCCATGGACTGAAACTTCTGAAACTGTGAGCCAAAATAAGCCTCTGCTGTAAGCTGTGGGTGCCAGGTCTTCTGTGCCAATGATGGAAAAGCGACTAAGACAGGAATGCTCACGCACATCAAAAACACGAGTTATCTCAGTGACTTCCAAAAGGCAGTCACGCAACTAAAGATATCTTAGGTTAACTATCTCTCCCTTTTTGTACTCTTAAGATATACTTTAACATATCATAATACATCTTTTAAGGCTCCTAACAACCATGAGATTTTAAAATTTCACGACTGACGAAACAAAATTTCTAGGGCCAGCCCTGGTGATACAAATCTGTAATCATAGCTGCTTAGGAGGTTGAAGAAGGAAGACTGCAAGTTCAGGACTAGTCTGGGCAGATTAGTAAGATTCTGTCTCACAATAAATATAAAAGTCTGGGAAGACAGAAAATATTGGGTACAATCCCTAGTACTGCCAAAAGAAAAAAGAAAAAAAAAGTAAAAATATCTTTATAACTACGTATCCATGAAATAATTTAATTATTACTAAAACACTGAAAATTATTGAATCCACTACTAAGAAATTTGGTCTACATACCTTGATTGAAAACAATTAATTTGCATTTGCATTCATTACAAAGCAACCTCTATGCTCTATAATACCTATCAGGCAAGTTTTTTTTTTTTTGCGGTATCCGGGGGATTAAACTCATGACCTTGTGCTTGCCAAGCAAGCACTTATGTCACTGAGCTATATCCCCACCTCCAGGGCAAGTTTTTAAAATACTTTTAAATAGCAGACTATATTGAGGTGAAGAATATTCAGTGCCTCAAAAGTAATCTCTTATTCCACTAGGTTCTCTAGCATTTACATTATTATGTTAGACCATTAAACATATTTTATGCTTTATCTTCTCTATTATACTTTAAACTACGTGACAGAAATAATGTCACCTTCATCTTTACTCTTATTAATAAGCATTTTGAGCCTATTCACAAGGCACTCGGAAAAAAAAAATCCTTGAGAAATTTTCCTTTTCCCAAGATAACAATGATCTCAAGATAAACTCTTTCAAATTCTGAAATGAATTAAACACTCACACGATTGAAAATATTATATAGAGAGATTCTAACAGTCTCAATATCTGATTATGCTAATGTTTAACCAATAGTATGCTCAGATAAACATTGCAGTAACTTTATAGTCTTCTGAGGAAGTAAAATTTAAAGCATGTTACTTAAGCCAAAGTTCAGAATTAAGCATTTGAGAAAAAGGTAAGTTTTTGGAAAGTATTATGTACAATCATTAAATCTTACCTGAGGATTCCAACCTGGGTCTAATTTTTTAACTACTGCGATATATTCTTGCATTGCTTGGGTGGGGCTTGAGTCACCAAGTGCTTTCCAGGCTTCCCTACAGTACAGAATATTCAAAATGGCCTGTCATTAACTATGTAAATAACATATTTCTTTTTATTATTAAAAATTATATATACATTTCAAGGGTTGGGGACATAGAAATAATAAGCTATGGAGATAGGAAGAGCCCTGTTTGCATTTACACTGACCTATAACTTTATAAGCTTCTCACTCCACCTAAGATGCCCTTTGGGAAATTTTCTTTTGTAATTGCCCCCTCCTGCAGAATTTTTGCAGAATTTTAATAGCAGATATGCTGCATATCTATGAATATTGGAAGATCACAGCCCCTGTAACCTAAGACTTTAACCAATCCCCTAACCCTAGGTTTCACCCCTAATGACAATATATGTATGGTCTACAGAACACTACAAGTAGTTCCCATGTTATAAGTTAACTGTGTTTATGGCATTTTGGAGTATGGAAACTGATCATCACACAAGAAACAATATCTCCTGAAGGAAAATGTATCAAATTTCTTACTACAGAGACTAGAAATACACCTTCCACTTCTGTTCTTATTTTATCTATAAACCACAGGGTGTGAACAAATTATAAATGTTTAAATGAAATGTATTACAGTAAAAGATATATTGGCATTATTCCCCCTCAAAATATTTCCTGTTATTTCGAACAGACTTACTTGATCATTCTTGCTACTTTCTGAAGCAATTCTGGAAGTCCTCTTTAGTGTCTCTACAAGAGGCGATAAAAATATGGTAAATGCTGCTGCCAAGTGCCAGCCAACGGGAAGGCGGCTTCTAAAAACGTCATAGTATATCCTTATCTGCCTTCCAGCTCGTCCCCAAATTCAAAACGATCACGAAGGGAAAAACTTTTGAATAGATTTAGGACATCAAGGCAGCCATGACAGAGCAAAGAACTTATGATAAAGGACTTCCACAACTGCTTCAGAGAGTAGCAAGAAGGAGGGGATGTGTGTTCAAAGTAAGGGGGAGGACTCTGAGGAGAATTAATGTCAATGTGTTTTTTATGCAACAAATTCTTTTTAAAATTTAAACATTCATTGTGCTTTTCCATCAGACTCAAAATAACCGATCTCGAGGCCTCAGTTAGGGACTTCAGAAATGAGGGGTACTAAGGGTAAAATTAAAAATACAAATGAGTAAAAAGGTAGGTACCAGGCATAGTGGTGTACAACTGTAATCCCAGCACTTGGAAGGCTGAGGCAGGAGAATCACTGAGAGGCTGGGGCCAGCCTGGGCTACATCATGAGTTCAAGGCCAACCTGAACTACATAGCAAGACCCTGTCTCAAAAAAAAAAAGGTAGGAATTTCCAAACATACAAAAGGTATAATCAAGAAATATGGTGACTGTTTAAATTTTTTTAAAATTGCATTACAGTAAAAGACACACTGCCATTAACTTCCCTCAAAAAACTCCCCGTCCCTTTGAACACATTTATCTCATTCTTACCACTTTCTGATGCAGTTCTGGAAGTTCTCTTTTGTGAGTGTCTTTAGTTGTGTTATGGCTGCCTCAATGTCCTGAATTCATTTAAAACTTCACTTCTGTGGTCATTTTGACTGTGAAAGAGCCAAAAGTTGCATGGTGCTAGACTCAATGAATAAAGTGGATTAGGACACAAAAACTAAGCTTGCCTTTCCATTGGATGACACTTGGCGGCAGCATTTACCATATTTTTCATCATGCCATGTAGACAAATAAAGACTTCAGAGTGCTTCAGAAACCAGCAAAAAGGATGAGACAAATGTGTTTGAAGCAAGGGGAATATTGTGAAGGGAATTAATGGAAATGTGTCTTTTACTATAATCAATATTTAAATTTAAACATTCACTATATATTTTGGTCACTCCTTGTACCAAGTATAACATTTTAGTCCTAAGACCCCTTTTGAGTCGTTTCCTCTCTTACCTCCCTCCTTCCCTTCCTTCCCCTTTTTCCTTCCTTCCCTCTTTCTATTCTTCCTTTGCAGAATGCCAAGAGAAGTCTCCATCTTGGTTTTCCCCTGCCAATTCTTTCTACTGCCAAAGTTTCTTTGTTTCCCTGATCCACTAAAACAGAACACAGCCCCGTAATTTTTTCATATCTTCCTGTTCCTATGATGAATATAACATATTTCTGAGATTTTCTAGATTAATTTTTACTGAATCTCTTGACAGCTACTTGTATGCATTGTGACACCTCTGCCCCTATATATGTGACCTTATGTCAAACTCAAAGGCAATTTATAATCAATACTACAACATGAGACCAAATAGTTCATATTTCCTGATTGTCCCAACAATGTTCTGTATGGCTTTCTTCTTCCAGACTGGGAGCCAGGAAAGATTCACACAGCACTGAGCTTCATGTATCTTCAGCCCTTTTATTTTCCACAACATTGCCCTTTTTTAAGAGTGAAAAACAGGGGCTGGGGATTTAGCTCAGAGGCAAAAGCGCCTGCCTTGTAAGCGCAAGGTCGTGAGTTCAGTTCCCGGTACCGGAGAAAAACCCAAAAAAAAAAAAAAAAAAAAGTGAAAAACAATTATTTTAAAAAATATCCTTCAATTTAGATTTGTTTATTTTCTTTCACCTATATAGTGTTTATGCCAAAAAATAATCATGATTATAATCAGGTTAAATATTTTGGTGAGAGCAATATACAGAGGATGGCGATGCAGCCCAGTGGTAAAATACTTGTCTGGCAGATGTGAGGCCCTGAGTTTGATCCCCCGGGTGGGCAGGGGAATAGAAAGAGAGGTGACAAAGCCTCTACAATGTATCACATAATGTGTCCATTTGTCCCATCAGTAAGACTGGTGAGTTGGTAATGGTAGTACCTGCCAGTTAAAGTAACTGTGGGTTATGTTGCGTGAATATTGTTCTCTAATAGTTTTTTACATAATGTTTTCATAGTGATGATTCCTGCCCAAATTATTATTAGGGTAGCTATAAAACCTAAACATTTTTTAAATTGCTAAAAGCAAGAAACAGCCAAAGCACAGGAAGAAAATAATGGTATATACCCTAGTTTTTCCTTTCTAGCTCTTTCCCTGGTCTCTGCTTCCCGTCTGCCATGAACGGAGTAGCTTTCCCTTGCCATGCACTTCTAACGTAATGCTTCTGCTTTGAAGCCAGCCAACCATGGACTAAAACCTCTACAACTGTGAGCCAAAATAAACATTTTCTTCTTTAAATTTTGTATGTAAGGTATTTTGTCACGATGATGAAATGTTGACTAAAACAGGTACCTTGTAATTGTATGCAATTTCTCTTTTTTCACTTATTATCAGGGGCAAAAAAAATAAATCCTTATTATAGCTTATATCTAAATGTTCCCCAAGAACTTTATGTGTTCATAAGTGGGGTTTGTGGAAGGTAAATGGATGAAGGTGATACAGATGACTTGCTGTCGGGAGTTGGGGTCTGGTTGGAAGAGATGGGTCATTGGGGTCATGACCTGGAAGGGCCTATCTCCCTTCCTGGCTCTTCCCTTCTCTCTTATGTTTCCTGGCAGCCAGGATGTGAGCAGCTTTCCTCCCTCACCCCTTCCCCCAGCACTTCCATCATGCCACTTGCTATGGCTTCTATCTGTATGTCCCCCAAAACTTCCAGCAGTCATAGGTGGAACTTTTCAGAGGTGGCTGAATCTAGAGTATATGATGCTGGGATAAAGGGTATGTGACTACAAAATTAGTCCACTGACAGGGTCTCACTATGTATTTCAGGCTGGCCTTGAGCTCACTTTGCAGCCCAGGCTGGTCTCAAACTTGCAACGATCCTCCTGCCTCAGCCTCCCGAGTGCTGGGATTACAGGCATGTGCCACCATGCCCAGCTAGTCCACTGATTGGTTTGGCATAGTGCTGGGGGTGATAATGGGAAGCCCTTAGGGTAAATGCTACTCACCCTAAGGGCTAATATCCCGGTAGAATATAAGGGGCATAAAGAGGACTGTTGTTTGCTTCTTTGCAGCCTTGCTGCCCTCTAGCTGCCATGAACTGTTTCTCCTCTGCAATGACTCTCTAACAGGCCACCTGGCCTTGGAGCCAGCCAATTATGGACTGAAACCTTGATAAACTGTGAGCTGAAACAAACTTTTCCTTCTTTAACTTTGCGTGTTGGCTATTTTGTCTCAGCAGTGAGAAAAGTAACTAAGATACCACTTCTACCTGTAGCCAGGAGACCATGCAAGGACTAAAACTTCTAAAAATGAGCCAAAATAACCCTCTCCTCAAGTTCTGGGTGTTGGGTATTTTATCCCACTGATGAAGCAAGGGATTAAGAGAGACCTGAGAAATGATATGAGGGAACCTCGGAATTGTAAAATTTTAAGAATTTATAATTTGCCTATAATCCTCTTCATGTATTCAGAGAAGTGGAGTGAGTCAGTATCTTATTCCTGGATGTCTTTCTTCCATCTTCCCAAGAAATTATTATAAGCTTTTTCCCTGTGTGGATGAAGCAAGGGACAAAGACTGTTGAGAAACAAGGAGATATTTGGTTGACCAGTATTG